CGATTCTACATAGCAGAATATTAACAAGATTTATTGGAAGAATGGGTCGGCTCGACCGTGGAGGGACACTCACAGAATACCAGCATGAAATAGGACCTTAATGCTGTTGAGTTTCGTTTTCGTGAGTGTAGAGAACCGGAGACCCGTATTTGTATCACCACCCTTAGAATTTTCCCAGGCTGTAAGTCGATATTAGTTAAGCCACGAACTCGTTAAGTCTTGCCGTTTAGCCGCGTAGTAGTACACAATCTTTTTTTTTATAGGATAGGGTGACAAACGAGCACACAGTCCACCTGATGGTAAGTGGTCGCTGTAGCCCATAGACATCTATCTTCGATTACGAATCAAAATGCAGATGCATTGTCACTTGTGAGGACTAAGATGGAATGGCTCGTTTCCAGTAAAAAGGGTCTCCGGTTCTCTACACTCACCATACGAAACACAGCAGCATTAAGCTACTATTTGACGCCGGTATTCTGTGAGAGCGTGGTCCTTCCCCGGTCGAGCCGACCCATTCGTGCTGCAACTATACTACTAATATAACTGCAGCATGGCTCTACCACGTCACGTCTCCCCGGGGAGCTGAACGTGGAAGTTAATTTATTCGTGTTTTTCTCAGCAAACCCTTTCAATTGATATCCATATGATGGTGGTGCATAAAAATACATAGTACGCCATCTTTGGGAGCCATTATATTTGATCTGGAACGACATAATTCAATTTGCGTATTTTTCTCAGCAAACCTTTTGATACACATATCATGGGAGTGCATAAAAATAACTAATCTGGCATCTTGGGCGGTCCATATTTTTGTATTACGAATGTCATAACTTAGCTAACCATGAATCGTCATCCAAAATATACATAAATACAAAATTTCAGTCCAATCGGTTGATAACTGCTTTAAAATTCAGTTGCAAGATTTGATCCTAACAAACATACAAACATTGCAAGTTAAATAAAAGCTTTTACAAATATCACAAAAAAGGTACGATCACAATTGGCTTATTTAACAAAAGCAAAAACCTCGACCCAAAATAAAAACAATGGAACAATACTCTGTAGATGAGTTTTCCAGCAAACCATTAATCTTGTAGCGCTCACCTCCGTGCTGTTTAAAACTGTTGCTTATAGTTTATTGTTCTACTAAAATAAACAGTAAAACAGTAATGTTGCCAGAAGTAAACTTTACCTAATATTTTAAAAATACTTTACAAAATTTATTTTGTAATAATTTTTTACTGGATGCATGGGCTACATTTGATTTGCTTTAGTCACAGATCATAAAAACAACAGTTTTATGATCTGTGGCTTTAGTATTAATGTTGTTACTTACAAACAACAGACGAAGCGGACCTAGTAAGAGAGTAGAGTTAAACTCATTTATGACTAGGGTTTTTTACTAGGAAGAGCATAAACGGAAAGATCTTTACAAAAAGCCGTTACAACAATTTATATTACATAATAAAAGGCGGGAGAAAGTTTCTTGGTCTTCGTATATTATATATAAATACAATATAAAATATAACACTGTTGAGAATGGAGTTTTCTCAACAATTATGGCACCCCAAAGTTTTTACTGACTATAATAAAGTTTAGAATAAAGTTTTTCCTAACTACAACAAGGGAAGACGTTTACGGATGTTGCCAGAAAATTTCAGGTTTGGCACCCTCTTGTAGTCTAAAACGAAAGAGTTTGGATATAAAATCAGTTCCTGTGGTGACCCGAAACAAAATCGATAATGACAGGTTTACTCTTGTAGTGAAGAGATGTCGGGCAAGACCCGTCTGTTACCCGCGAGGAATCACCAAAATGTACAACTCTGCATGTTGTGAAGACAAAACTACGTCGGGAAAAGACATTCTGAGTTTTATGGAAGAACAAAGTCGATGCCGCATAGAAGATTCGATCTCTTTACATTTGCAGTCTGGAATGATGCCTGAAATAAAATTATTATTATTATTTTGGTCAGGGTCATTTAAATATGGTGTTGAGGTAGCCACTTACCATCAGGTGAGCCCCATGCTCATTCCCCCCCCTCATCTATAAAAAAATGTTCCTCGTGTGGTTGGGCTGTATAAATATATAAATGGAAATGATAAATATACATAAATATCAATAAAATAAAATAAATACATAAAAAATACATAAATAAATAAAAGCCAATCAGATGGAAGCTCAGCAAAAATCATAATCATATCATATATCATCGTTTAAGCAAGCATTTTTGTTTGTTTTTTACATAGGCATTCTCATCCTTGTATTTTCCCAATATTCCTATTGTAATGTAAGTGTCCATGACAGGCGTGTTGCTTGTCAGTGTTGTTTAAACACAATATTACTCTATTTCATCCTTGGAAATGAACACAGATAAGACAAACAGATAAAACAAACAGATAAAACAAAAAAAGACTTTTACTCTATTAATACAGTAGATATTATGCTAGATACTGGCCTTCTCGCATTTTAAGAAGGTTATGTGGCAATTAGGATGAGTGGAAAAGACTTCTTTAACGTGGTAGAACCATGCTGCAGCTATTTTATGGTTGTAACACGAATGGGTCGGCTCGACCGGAGTAGGACCACGCTCTCCAATACCAGCGTAAAATAGCAGCTTGGGTTATACTTCTTAATGACCGCATTTATATAGCACAAATTTTACTCTCTTACTTCTTCTGCCACACCAAACTTTCACTACCAAGTATTAAGTTAGGATATGGAGTAGACAGTACTTACAGCGTTATAAATTCTTATATGCGCTTTTATTGACAGATTTTGACTTGACATGGTGGAGTGAAGAGCTTCATTAACTGTGTCCTTCATTCACTTTTCGTTCTATATCCTTGTCATATCTGTCAGGCTTGCCAAAAAACATTTAAAAATATACAAACTTACACTTGCTTGATTCTTTTTTCAAACATCGTTTTACTTTTGTTCCTTTCAAAACAATTCAACAATTTCAATCATTTTCATCTTATCTGTGTTCACTTTCATAAATGATACGATCATCACAATGTTTTCCTTTACCACTAAACATGTGACCACTGAATATGGGTTCACTCTAAATTATAGAGTGAGAAATTGTGGAATAAGAGAAAATTATTGTTTGGTATGTTGTAACCAGTATTAGGAAAGGATTTTTTTAGAATTAAGAAAGGATTGTTTTAGACACGTAGAAAGAATAAATGAGGAAAGAGTGACAAAGCAATTCTGACAATATTCCTAGCTAAGAGCAACCTTAACCGAATTTATGTGTAAATATATAAATGGGAAAGAACCGTGCATGGCGTGTCACGATTGTGATAAATGAACGAAATTCTTAATCTCTCCCTACACCCGGGGTGAAAGTTTATGTTATCTTTCACGTCATTTGACTCCTTAGAGTAATTACATACGTATGTATGCATAGCGAGCACCCACAATTCTACATAAATTGAACCAATATACTTGTCTCGCTTTTTGTAACGGCAGCGTAAAAGAAACCACTACCATCTACCAAATAATATATACTACATATAAATTCTAAGACTCCAAATTATCCCGTATCATAAAAGACGACATAGGGAAGTGAAACAGGAGATAGGTAACAATGTCTTCCTGATAACAACTCAAAATAATGAAAAATTGCGGTTGCCAAAACACTTGCTAAGAGGGGGAACTATAGCAAATATTCTACCTCCGTTTAGCAGTGGACTTTTGATAGGCTGTAATTAAGGAGTTTTTAATGGATGATATCTTGAGGGAGATGAGAGGAAAGTAGGTAATACGTTCGCAATCTTTTATTTTTATTAGTAGTTGTGATCTAGCGACAAAAGAGAAGGTAGTCCATGGTCGTATCGCTATTATTGTACTATCGTAGCAGTGCCCTCTGTGTACGTTCCGTAAAGCAAACCCAGTGTCGATTAAACAAACACAATTGTTATATTACATCTGAAATCCATAATAGACCAAGGATAATTTGGCGGAAATATACCAGCTGAATTTAAGTAGATTTCATAGCGACTTTTTCACGAAATATTCTAAATTATACAACAATTGTACGAAATTCCGCATTATTTCACTACGTTTTTTGTTATAAGATGTCAGATGAAGCTTACATAAACTTTTGTTGATATACATATGTATTACGAATCGGACTAATAAAAATCTCTAATTTTACTAAGTCATAGACAACGTTTTCGTTCTTCTAATGGCACATCAATAGGTGTCTATCGAATGGAAAAACGGCAACAACCTTGTAAAGTAGATGAGAACCATATTAAACGTTAAACGAACCATATGTATAAAAAGTTCAGCTTTAAGAATTTTGTTCTTACTTTAGGACTCTCTCTATGCTAGTAATTACTCTGAGTCTAGATTTAAATATATAAGGTCGAGGAAAAAGTTTGTTCTAAGGACAAACACAGGACATTTTTGGGGTGACTTTTTTATCGTCTGAGGAGTGACGGAACAAAACATGATAATTCGACTTTTTGTAAAAAAAGTTAGCAATGATATTCGACAGAATACCATAAATTACGTGACCCGTTAGGCTGGTGTGGTTCAAATCGTGCTTATTCCTGTAGTAAATGGCCTCTCAAGTTAAAAGTTTGAAGCAAATCATGACATTTCCATGTTTAAAAATATAAATAAACAAAATCAGAACAAAACATGATAATTAATAAACATTTTTGGTACGCAGATTGAAAGTTGGTACAAAATAGGATATTTCCATGTAAAAATAACTTATCGACTTTTGAACGCTTTATTCGCTTAAATCTTAGGGTACGATACATTACTTTCCTCTATGCTGCTGAAGCCGTAAAAAAGTACATTATTTGTCTATGGTTATGTTGTTTGGTTGACATATTATGTCACATGACTACATACTCGTATTTAAGTCAATGTCAAAATATTGGTGGTCGGTCGCATTCGGTTGGTATTTTAAAGAACATTGGGAACTGCGAGTGAGAAATACCTAAATTGAGTTATTTAAAGTTTTTTCAAGCGATTTACAAGCATGTCTGAGCAGTCAAATACTGTTTGTGCACTCAATAGTGGAGCGAAGAAAGAGAAACGTCGAGAAAGGAAAGCTTTATCCGAAAGAAACAATAAGTAAGTTCGTTTACTTATTGTTTCTTTACAATTATGTTTGTGTAGCATGTAAAATGTTCAATCTGTTACAAGATTACAATATGTGCATAATTTTGTTTTAGATACATTGACAATGACCCGCTGTGCTTAAGAATTCAATGTACGTGTAATCATGGACAAAAAAGCAATTTTAAATGTAAACAAATATCGCAACAGGATGTCGTTCGAAATCATAAAAACTTTTATTCAACAAAAAAAAAGTTCACCAAGACGTGTATTTATGTCGTCTTATTAGTGCATTTGAACCCCAACGTAGAGGCAAAAGCACACCACGTCCTTCTGGTAAAATGAAACTTCGAAAGTTAAGTACTTCATTCTTCCTATATGGGAAAAAGAAAGTAATTAAAAGGGTATGCAAATCATTTTTCATGGCAGTGTTTTCTATTAAAAGGCAGAGGTTATCAACTATTATCAAATGTGTGTTGGATGGCAAAGTTCCAAAGAATGAAAGAGGAGGTGACTGGCGTTCAGCCAAATCTCATGAGAAAAAGAACATTTTTGAAATTTCCTCCGAAAACTTCCTTGCAGTGCCACTACACTAGAGTAGCCACTACAATAGAGCGAAAAGCAAGAAGGTGTATTTGGATGCCGCCTTAAACATGAAAAAATTGAGAATGTTTTACAATAATAGTGTGCCAAATGACCTGAAAGTCAAGAGAACAATGTTTTACTAAGTGTTCACATTTGAATTTAACATTGGATTTCGTTCACTTGCATCAGATGCCTGCAGTTCCTGTATACTATTGAGTAATAGTATCAAAAACGAACAAGATTCAACAAAAAAACAAGAACTTATGACAAAACTCCGTATCCATAAATTGCGAGCAAATTTTTTCTTTAAACTTAAAAAAAGGTTAGTAATAGTATTACTATTTGTTTTGATCTCCAGCAGGTGTTTCCTCTACCTAGAATACCAATTCAGAAGGCTTTTTATTCCCGTCAGATTAGTCTGTATAATTTATGTGTGATGGATCTGTCAGAACAAAATAATTCTTGTCTGTATAACTGGGATGAAACAGAATCTGGCAAAGGTGCTGTGTCAATTGGATCTGCGTTTTACTGCTTTTTGAATACTCAAACAATACCGGCTAATGTGAAGTTAGTAAGACTTTTTTGTGATGGCTGTGGAGGCCAAAATAAAAACAGCCATGTGTTGCTTAAGCTGCTATTTTGGCTTCAAAATAAGTCCCCTACACATGTTAAGAAAATACAAGTTTATTTCCCAGTACGAGGGCATAGCTTCATGCCAGCGGACCGTTTATTTGGTAGAGTTGAGAAAGATATGAGAAAAATACCAGTGATTACTATGAGGCAAGAATATTTTGAAATATTTTCTAAACATGGCAGAGTTTGCGAGCTTGATAAAGATTGGTGTCTGTATGATATAAAAGGTTTAGAAACTAATTGTAAAAAATTTGTGGGATACAATCCATGAAAAAATTATAATCAATAAGTGCAAATCTTAAACTCTCAAACTATAGATTTGAGTCTGGAGAACAATTTATATCACTACTGAAAAGGGGCAGACGTAACCCTAGAAATATAGAATAAATTCAGGAAGACCGAGGACTGAGTGCTGCAAAGAAAAATGATGTGACCAGTCTATTAAAACAGTTCGGTGCCGATTGGGAGAACCTTTCGGCATTAGAATGGTACAAGCAAATATTAAGCTGTTCTAGAAACATTGTAGAACAAAATGAAGAAATAGATGATGATGAAGCGTGTATTTGTACTGCGATGGATACAGAAAACATAAGAATTTGGTTTTTCATTATTAATTGTGTATTTATATATAGTAATAAATACAGCATAAAATTTTATTTCCCTACCTTATTTTTTCAAAACATGATATTTCCAAACAGTTTGGTACAAATCATGATATTTTCGTCAGATCTGATCAGAACATGATATTTCCATTTTTCACATGAGAATAGGTGAACAATTTGAAATAAAAAATAATAATAAAAAACATACTTAATAAGCTTTTACAGCTATTTATTCATTGGAACCTATATTTTTTTAATTGCACAAAGGCAAAATAGTTGCCGGTTTTTGACCTTTTGTGAAAAATTAGACATCATGGAATTATCATGTTTTGTTCTGTCACTCCTCGTTTGGAAAATAATATGGTATTTTATGTAAGTAGAATAAAAGCCTCCGGAAAAGTATAATATGTAAAATATAACTGATAGGCAAAATTTCCGAATATCCAAAAAAATACATAAAAACGATTCATCCTGCGACATTTTCGTAAAACTAAAAATAAGTAATATTATTCTAAGCGGCGTAGGCTACAATTGCTAGAGAATGAAAGTTGTAAGCGTGAGCGAGACGCAAGCATATTTCTTTCGTTAGGCAAATGCCTACCAATGCCTATGATTGGTATCGTCACTATGTAGGCACCAGGCGGCTGAGTTGGAGCAGTGGAGCAGCCGACATATCGTTGAAGCTAACATTCACAATCAGGCGTATTCAAAAAGACCTGGCTACAATACTTGATTTCGTAATGCTTGCAACTCTAAATGTTCTGTGATACGGCGCCATTTACGAATGCAGATTACTGAAGTCCGTTTGAATGACCTTATGATACGTTGACTAAAATATTCTTTTTCTTTATTACAAAATTTGTAGCCACAATGCATAAGCACTATTAAATATTGTGGTATTAAAGACAACATGCTGCACTTTTTCATTTTGTAATACATGGTACTTAAAATTGAGCATTATCAGAAGCATTGTAAAACGCAAAAAGCTGATATATTACATAATGTTCATTACGACTAAGCGTTTATTAATACATCTTATTTCTTATTTGGCTACGACATGTGTAGTGTGTACGGGTCGCTGAAACCGAAAACCTTTCGTTTCGAATTATTATTTTTGTAATATTGATCTTTCCTTCATACATTAACGGGCTAATTACATGTTAAATTTTATCTTGCATTGTAATGAATTCATAAACATTCAAAAGATCGAAATCAACTTATTTACAAACTATGCTGATTGTATATTTAAAAATTATACCAATTTATTGTTTTTTACAAAAAATACCTTTTTACCGGTATGGCAATAATTGTTCAAAATGTCCACTGATTCTTTTTAAACACAAACTAACACGTCTTTGTAAATTATTTGTTAAAAACTTTCACTAAGACTTTGTGCTTTGTGCACACTAATCGTTTTAGTTCGGCCCACAAATAAAAGTCTAAAGGTTTTAGGTCTGATGATCTCGCCCACCAGTTCGCAGCTCAGCTGTGACCTATCCACCTATCACCATATTGGCTTTCCAGATCTGCGCGCACAAATCATTCGTTACGAGAATTTCGTGAATGAATCCGTCGTGCTGGAAGTACATTCCTTGCGGATCGCTCAGAGGAACGTTTTTCAACATTGTGTCGATGACGGAACGTACCATTTGTACTCCCGGCGATCGATCCATATTGGACCAATGATGTGGTCATTAATTATTGCCACTCATACGTTAACACTAAAACGAACTTGGTGAGCATCTCTTTGATTTTGTGTGGGTTTTGGAAACACTACCAGTGATTATTGTGCATGTTGTAAAATCCAATACAGGTAAATATCGACTCGTCGTACCGTCTAAATTTTCACCAGACAAGACATAAAATCTCACCATTGTTAAGTATTCGACATTAGATTATTGATACAAATTCACTATAACTATCGGCGGGCGGCCGATACACACAAGGAAACATAACCAATTTATACAAGATCACGCCGTAGCCATTCAGAGCTGACTGAAATGAGAGCGCGGGCCGCCCGCAGTCGGCGGTCTTGTAACGGCCTATGAAACGACAAGAATGAAGAGGCCTACGGCGAGTACTGTGAGCGTGTTGCCGCTAGTAAATTCGGGTGCGTATGATTTGAATTTCGATAGTTTTTAATTGATTTTTTTATTACTTTAAAATTTTTGTTTTTACCTTTTAGTACGAACAGAAACAGAAACTTTTTTATTCAATGTAGATTATAAACAATACTTATTGAAAGTCGATTTTTGCATTTACCACTGTTTCGCAAAAAAAACCTCTGTCCTTAGAAGAACCAGCAAGAAACCCAGCGGGACTATATTTTTTTTTTCAAATAATAGCTTACAATCATGGTTACAATTAACAACACAAGACAAATTAGAAATAGCTTGGTAGCGATCACCTTTCCCAGGGGTTATTATCATCCATAAATTCCTTAATATTATAATAACCCTTTTTATACAAACTTAGTTTAACATTTTAAACTAAGTTTGTATAAAAACTCTCTTGAAATTTGCGTATGACAAATTTTATATATTTTCTGGGATTTTGTTGTAAAAGCGTGTACATCGCCCCAAGAACGAATTACTGACTCGGTGGAGTCGAGAAACTGATACTACTAGCTTGTGTCTGTTCCTAGTATTTACAGAATGAATATCACTTATTTTTGCAAAACTACGTTTATTCTTGTGTACGTACATTACATTTTCATAAATGTATTGGGAGAGTTAATATATTAATTTCCTTAAATTTTTGTCTCAGTGACTCTTTTACTTTTAAATTATATATTGCTCTAAAGGCTCTCTTCTGTAAAATAAATATAATTTGAATGTCAGTTGCGTGTCCCTATAGCAAAATACCATACGACATAATACTATGGACATAACTAAAGTAAACTGTTCTTGCTGTTTCAACACTGGTAAGAGTTCTAATCTTTTTTACAGCATATGCTGCAGAACTAAGTCTGCTAGCTAGTTTGATATATGGGGGAGCCATTGAAGCTTACGTCTAGTGTGATTCCAAGAAAAATGGTGGTATCAACAAGACTCAGTTCTTCCCCATTGAAAATAACATTCGTATTAACATGTTTGACATTAGGAGTTACGAATTTCATACATTTAGTTTAAGTACCATTTAAATGCAAATTATTAACATTAAACCAATTAACTACCTTAACTATTGCATTATTTACTTCGTCGTAATTTAATAACTGTCGTTTTAATTTGAAAATTAATGAAGTATCATCAGCAAATAATACTATATCATGGTTATCCCCTACTATAAAAGGTAAGTCATTAATATATAGTACAAGAAACAGAAAGGGGCCGAGAATTGAGCCCTGAGGCACGCCCATTTGTACAGTAGGCCCGGAAGAACTCACACTATTAATTACAACTTTTTGCGTTCTGTCACTTAAATATGTAATAATTAATTTAAGAGCATCACTTCTTACACCGTAGTGTTGAAGTTTCCTGATTAATGTTTCACGGTGAACACAATCCAAGGCCTTGGATAGGTCACAGAACATACCCAAAGCATCCTGTGAATTCTCCCATGCATTAAAGATATATTTAATAAACTCAACACCAGCATCAGTTGCCGAGCGACGCCTTGTGAAACCGAATTGATTTTTATGAAGTAAATTATTTACATTAAAAAAATTTAATATTTGATCAAGAATAATTTTTTCAAAAAATTTACTATGTGTTGGCATTACAGAAATAGGTCTAAAATTAGCGGGGTCCAATGTACTGTCAGATTTAAATAAAGGTATTACTTTACTATGCTTCATTAAATCAGGAAACACACCAGATTTGATACTAGTATTAAATATAATAGATAGTTGAGGTGCGATTGCATCTATTATAGACGCAATAACTTTAAAGGAAATCCCCCACATATCGGCGGTTTTCTTAATATCAATAGTCTTAAAATATTTTAGAATATCTTTTGATGACACTTTATGAAATATAAAATTCTTTGTACACGCATTTACATTTTTTTAAGTAATGATTCGGCTACGGCAGGGAAGAATTCAGTGACTTAGTGGTTAAGATAGGAATATCAGTAATATATTTCTCGAAAACCATTGCTACGTCCTGATCTGATTCCGTTAATTTATTGTCAAAACTTAACTGATAGTTCTAATTGCGAGAGTTAACCTTACCAGTTTCACTATTAATTATACTCCATGTCATTTTAATTTTCTTAGAAGCCGTCTTTATTTTGCTGCTCAAATACAATGACTTGGCTTATATCTACCGATTTAATGTATTCTTTTAAATAATGCGGTAAGGGACGCTTCTGTTCTAAAGGTTTCTATCATGTTTAAAAAACAGCATATTCTAAAAATAGATAAGCGCAAAAATAGGGAATAATTATAAAGTATGCTAGAAAATACGTCGCTTGGTAAGAAACGAGTGCAGAAAGAAAAAACTGACTACATTCACACACAACAAAGTGTAATTAAGTTTGCCATAAACTACGTAGCAAGTCATTTTCGCTCAAAAAGGGCGGCTCTCACGACGTCGTATATATTCGCCAAGATAATTAATTACTTTCACCTCGAAGATCACTGGGGCGTCTACATAACCATCCAGGTAAGGATTATAATATGTATCTTTGTCGTCTTCATTTTTTGATAAATATACTTTTAATAGGTATT